TGCTCGGAGGAGAAGACCAAATGGTGGAGTTGGAACACGCTAGTAGTGGGTGCAAGGTTGGACTTGTGCGGAAGGTGGGGAAGGGCAAAGGGGGGGGCTTTCTTTTCTTCCGAGTCCTTCCAAATCAGAATGTATAAGGATCCAGAGGAGCTCAGTGTTTTATTAGGACGCTGGTCAACAAGAATCCCTTTCTGCAGCAGAATAGAAAGAAGGAAAGGGGGCATCAATCAAGTCCATGAACTGGACTCAGCGTTGGGGTCATGTCAACAGCACTGATCCCACCAATCAGCACAGGGTGTGAGGCACGGCGAGGTTTGTCTCCTTCCTCTCGGTCCCATGCTCCGGTCGATTTCTAATGCCCAACAGCTTGCGGTGGAGAAGACGAGTCCGAAGTCCTCCGGTCAATGAACAACGTCCGTGTACTTCATCAGCGAGAGAGAGAGAGAGATAGCGAAAAGAAGCCCGAGTACAAGCGCGGCATGCGAGCAGATGCTGTGCTGCTGGTGGTCTACGAGTTAGGCCGATGGAGTTGTCGTTCGCGAATCAATTCCGCCCATCGGCCATTGGACAAATATTAGTGATGGCTGTTGCCCTTGTCAGATTTCATCGACTGCCTTTACGATTAGTGTGTTGACGTTCGACAGAAACAAGCTGTGGTGCGACTTCAATGACAGGAAAAAGTAGGATCCGCGTGAATGGAACGAGAAGGGGAGAGTGAGGTCAAAAGCGTGTGATGAATGAAGATTACTGGTTGACCGGCTTTGGGCATTTCTTCTTTCTTCTAATCGGTGGAGTAGTTTCCTCCGACTACTGCTGCGACTTCTCCTCAGGTCGTCGTCCCAAGCAAACAAAAGAAGCAGAGTATTTATTCCAAGACAAGGATGGAAGTGACGAGAAAGAAATGGATGATCTGATGACATTAGCATATTTGTATACCCTGGTCTACTCGGAACAACGTAAGATTGCAACTGCTGGTTCAAACAGGAATAAATGGTGATGGGTAAGATATTTGTGATGTTTGAATCAGTCTGTCTAATTTGATTTGAATTGAAATTGATGATACTCAATGTTAGATGAAATCTCCAATGTTAGATCAGATAGTTTTTACATAATAACTCAAGTCGAATGAAATTTTTGACAAAGCAAAATAATAATAATAATAATTAATCTTATTCACTATGAGATGTTTAATTGAGAGAATATTAGTGAAATACTCTTTGGACATTTCATATTAGGCCTGATATATGTGTGATTTAATTCTGTCATCACATAGAATTCCATGCAATAATATAGCTTTTACTTGTGATGATGAAACATCTGATGTTGAAGCATCATAGAAGAAGATAATTCTGGTAGCGGTGACCAGCAATTTTATTTCAATTATTATTTTAAGTTGATGAGGATGATCTAACATAATAATTAATCTTATTATGATATATGTATGTTGAGGTTAGGTTAGGTTAGTATAGATGGTTTCCCATGGCAAGATAATATATATTATATTGCAATGCTTTGGAATGGGTGGGGTGAGGAGGGTTTCGGAGAATGGAAGAGAGACTTCAATGGTGGGAGCACGAGGTTGATTGCTTGGCTGTCATGTCACATAATTTCTTTTATTTTTTTTTTTTTATGTTTTTCGACATGACTGAGATTCTAATATGAGAATTCAATATTAAATTAAGAACAACTTCTTTATGAAACAATTTTGGATTAATTTTCATTCGCTTGTTAGAAAAACATGATAATTAATATAATTTGGATCTTTCCAATAACTAACTAACTAAACCTCCTCTATATTCGTCCGCCGCTTGATGACGTTTTATATGCACCAAAAATAACAGTCATCGTATCTCTCATGAAATCTTATGAGATTTCTTGCACTCGAATCAATTATTCAAAATAAATTGGTTTAGATTGAACCGATTTATCAATCATTTAATTTTAAAGATTATATAAATTATTATGGTTTGAGGCGCTATTCTTTAGTTCAATTAATTGATTTAGATTAAATTAAATCGAATTTATTTATTTTTTTAAAAAAATATCATTCTTTTACGATTGAGTTCATTAATTTAAAGACCTAATTTAATCTAATTTTAATATCATAATTTTATAATTGATATGGTTACAACAATTGGACTAAGATTCTAGTTCAATCGAATCATATATATATATCCTAAACCCTAAATATTAAACAAATCAAAATTGAACCAGTCAAATCTCAACAATTGAAACGCTAATATCAGCCATTGAACCAAGGGGCAACTTATCCTCCCACATCATCAGCACACTACTTAGCTAGCAAAAGCTGACAAACAAATCAAAGTTGCACAGTAGGAGATGTATGGCAACTCCTTGTACACGTACAACTCCTTGTGCATCTAGAAATACCTCAATTCGTGCTTAGAACAAACTACCTCATACCTAATCTCCCAAGAGTCTCAATCATATCAGGACTTGTTTAGTCATATATTTTGAAAAGGAACAAAGGATCTCAGCCCCTCGATCCTATAAGAACAAGAGAGTCACAGCACTCTTCATTCATCTTAAAAGCAATCTTATGTCATAATTGTGTAGGTAGAACCCAGTGACTTTGCAAGAGGGAGCGATTAAGAAGGAGAAGAGAAAAAGAGGAAGAGAAGGAGAATGACTCATAACCATAGGATAATAACAACACCCTTCTTCCTTCTATAAAGTCGTCTAGTAGACTTTGGACAACTTCTTGCAATCGAGGTTGGTAAACAAACACTAGAACATTTCTTCAGCGAAAATCTATTATAGTAGAGAGTCGACGTAAACCAATAGTTGTGTCTTCGTCCTCAACATCTCAATACGCAGTAATAAACTCGATGTATTCAGTCTTTTCCACGGTGCCAAGTAGAGATGCTATCGAATTATCGCTCAAGAACCCTTTTTTTTTATTATTTAAATTTAGACACTTTAAATTCATAACAAAAGTTAATTAATTATTCTTTTCTAAGTTGCGTTTATTACAGCAGTGTAACTCCTCTATTAAATCACTTAAAATTATAAACGAGATAAACAATTGATTTATTTTAAATCGACTTAGTTAGTTAGATATTATTTTAATCAAATTAAATTAAAAATCAATTCGAATCGATTTGATTTGACTACCCCCTATACTCGGGTCAAAGGAGACAACGCCCCCTGGAAGACGTTACGTTGGGCTAAGCTTGCTCCATAGCCCAATCGATCGGCCCACGATCTGATCTTTACATAGAAATGTCATCATCATCATCATCATCAATCTCGTGGCTGGCGAAGTAAACCTTGAATAGAACAAAGCTGAAGCAGGGATTGATGATTAGGAGAGACTGCTTTTATTGACATTTCTACAGCTTCACGCATCTCCACATTAGAACGTCCGAGTATGGATGGAATCTTTGCATATAGTATACGTAGTATGAACTTACATCCACGTGGATGTACAAAGTAGCCTGCATGTGGCGCACTGAAGGGTGATTCGACGATACACCTAAATAGAAGCACCCGTGATTGATGCACGAGCGGACACGTGCAAGCACAGTTGTAATGCTTATTATTTTTATTCCAATCTTTGGTTTCTGGAATCGGACACAACCCACGTGGAGAGTTATTTAGCTCCTACCTCTCTCGTCTTTTATTGTCCGGTTGAAAAGACATTGAACACAAGAAAAAGCCGGTGGATGTCGCACACGTGCCACTCTATTTTTTACTCAACCGGACAATTTCCGTTGGACCAATTTTCCAAAAAGAAAAAAACAAGTTTTTTTGCGGCTTTTCATAACAAGGGTTTCTTATTTTTTTTATTAGTAACTTTTAATAATTAAATTATATTTTTATTTTTTACAATCCTTTCGTTACTAATTTTTACATCCCCCTTTTTTTTTATGATAGAGTAGTATATGATGTTACGAGAGATCTCTATTTCCATGGTTTATATTCATATACTTGAACCTTTGTTCTTTATTCGTCTTCTCTATAAATCTTTCGACAATCACTCGAACAATAGGGTCCACTATTTGTAATTGCATCCACCAACGACCCTTACGATGGTTATTCGTTTTTGTCGGAATCATTATCGATCGGATCGAGAAGGATAGTTACATCCATTTATTGAGCGATATTATAAAAATATTAAAAATTCTTAAAATGAGATAGGAAATAGTGAAATAAGCTTATGATTCACCATCCTTTTTTACTATTAATAATCTATTAAAAAAAATAAAAAAAATATTAAAAATAATAAAGTTTATGATAAGCTCATTGCGGATGCTGCTTATCATCAACTTTGCTCATTACCAGTGCCATCGATGCTTGTGCAACAACTTCTCAACACTCATCGTATGTGTAATCGGAGGTGTCACCGTGTCCGACCCCACTCATCACCCTCTTGACGTTGTCCTTTGATTACGAAAAAGAAAAGGAGGAGGAAAGAGAAGAATAAGAGGAAGAAGAAAGTATTTATATGAATGATTTGAAAATATTATATAATTTTAAAATAAGATCATAAATAATAAAAAGATTGTAAATAATAATAATCTCCATAGTTAAAAGGGAGTTAAGAATATAAATCTCTTTTTTGAGAATTATCCTTTTATGTCCAATAGCTAAAATACCTATAGTAACTTACTTACATTTTTTTCCTCCCTTTTTTTTATCCTTTTTCCCATGGATTGAATAAATTAATATTTTCTTAGTATAAATAAAAATGCTTTAACATAATATAAAAAGATCATCAATATAATATTTTTAAAAATTATATATTTATATTATTAAATATTTATATAAATATAAAATATATAAAAATAAATATATCTGGACCGATTCACCAACGACCCGAAAACGGAAGGGAAAGAGAGGGATTGATGACTCACCGTATCCTATTCATCAACCATTTTTAGTTCTCTCGTTCTTTTGCACGGTATAAACCTCCCGAATGGACAACATAACAGATCCCTCCATTCCTTTTCTCGCCTCATCCACGGCGGCTCGAGTCATAATCAATTTGTGTTAGCCAACAAAAAAACATATATAACGAGTCGATGGAATCTGAAATTAAATAAGAGGCAAAAAGAAAAAAAAAGAAGGACCGACTCGCTGCCAGCCTGCCACTCCCGTCACCTCTGACTCTCACCGCGGGGCCATCGACACGGAGAACTCCGTCGGGGGCTTCACCGTCTCCGCCCACGCCTCCGAATCTAGAAAGAGCTTCGACACCCTCCCGGCCACCCACGTCATGTCCGGCCGCGCCGCCGCCTCCGCCTCCACGCACTGCAGAGCCACCTGGATCAGCGCCTCCGCCGTCTCCACCGGGTACGAGTCTCGCAGCCTCCGGTCCACCCACTGCCTCATCCTCCCTCGCCGTTCCCCCTCCTCCTCCGCACCGATCACCTCCCTTGCCGTGTCGATCAGGGAAACCCGCTGGAATTCGCTCCCGTCCCCCCTGCCCATGCTGAACTTGAGCGGCTCGTCGCCGGAGATGAGCTCCAGGAGGACGACCCCGAAGGCGAACACGTCGGACCGCCGGGAAATGCTCCCGCCGGCGAGCAGCTCCGGCGCCATGTACCCCCTGGACCCCTCGATCCGCATCCGGCGGCTGCCCGTCCTCCTGATCCCCGGCGGCGGCGGGGTGATCGAGTCGGCCTTGCCGTCCTCTTCGGCGGTGGCGGGGGGGATTTCGTCGGCGAGATCGGCGGCGCCGAAGTGGCAAATTCTTGCACGGAAGCCGGGTTCCGTGACGAGGACGGAAGAGCTCTTGAGCCGGTTGTGGATGGAGGAGTGGAGGTGGATGTACTCGAGGCCATGGGCGAGGTCGGAGGCGACCTGCATCCTGGAGATCCAGGTGGACAGCGGCGTGAAATTAGGGTTCCTCTGGTTGCGGAGGCAGTCGGTGAGGCTGGCACCGGGGGCAAATTCGTGGACGACGTAGACGTGGTCGCCGGCAAGAGAGGCGCCGAGGAGGTGGACGAGGCTGGAGTGGTGGGACCTGGCGAGGGCGGCGAGGCGGGCGGGCAGGGCGGCTGGGTCGGGGCCGTGGAAGCGTCGCTGGAAGACGACGGCGTCCTTGCCGCGGAGGGAGCAGCGCCAACCGGATTTCGCGGCCGGGAGGCGGTTGGAGTGGAAGTTCCCCGTTGCGGAGCAGAGCTCGGAGAAGGTGTAGAGAACGGGGGGATCCGGGAGGGCCTCACGAAGGGAGGTGAGGCTGGATACGGAGGATGAGGAGGCCTTGGAGCCGGAGGAGGGGAAGGAATTGAAGGGGACGGCCGCAGCGGTACGGGGTAGGCGGGGGTCGCTACTGGAGCCGGTGGGGAAGCCACTGGATGAGGTGGCGACGGCGGAGATGGCGGCAGAGGATGCTCGGGACCTCGTTCGCGGCCTGGGCTCGGTGGCGAGGGTAGCGGACTTGGTCTTGCACATGGGGCGGAGAACATCGATGGCGGCTGCCCAAATCGCAGGGGATTGCGACCATGGAATTTGGAAGGTCGATTATATATATATATATATATATATATATATATATATATATATATATCAAAATTCAGATGTTCCTTGGCTCGTTAAAACTCGGTTCGATAAAATTAGAAGGACCAAATTCCAAAAGATAACGAGGCTCGGTTCCAACTCATACAAAGCTTCTCATAGATATAGTCATCATCACCATGGGTCGGCGCCCATTCCTGTCTCTCTGTCTTCCTCTTTCTCCAAAAGTTCCTCGAAAGGCACAGCCTAGTCTCGAGAGTCAAAAGAGAAGTTTCAATCCTGTAGCGTTGTTTACACTGTTCTTAAGCTTGCTTGCCCCTTGCTAGTCCTCAAGCACTAATCCAGCCCTCCTTCCACTCAACTAACAGAGGACAAGGCTTCCAAGTTTTCCTCACACGAGTCCTTTGCTGCACATCATACGGCGGCACAGTGTGTCAGCAATAATTGCACTAGTCATTTTTATGGGCATCTTTGTCGACGAAACAACATCAGGAGGTATAAGGAGTCAAAACCCATGGCGTCAAGGGACTTGGTTGGTGGCCGACCCCAGCTGTTCTTGGGATGAACACACCAAGTGACTCTATGGATGTGAGAGCATATACTGTAGCCGAAGACGTCTATATATGTATATATAAGGGAAAACAACATGTGATGGTTACACGAGTTAAAAATGCCCGTCTGACCTATATGTCCCCTTAGTCCAGTAAATTAGTGCCGTATCTAACACCCAAACCAGTAAATTAAATATGGATGCTTAAATTTAAATCATTTTTAATATATATATATATATATATATATATATATATATATATATATATATATATATATATATATATATATCTGAACTCATTTGGAATCAAATTAAAGAATATTCAAACTGTGGTAGGATTTTTTATCGGTGGAGAAAAAAAAAAGTATAATTCCGTGGGAAAAAAAAAGTAAAAATGATGTCATTGCACGTGCTACCGTTCCCGTAGGGCCAGGGAAAGCCGAGGTGCAACTTGAGGCCAAGCTTTTTCTTCCCACGTTATCCTTGGGGTCTCTGTCGATCTCGAAGCCATCGAAGACGTGTAAGCCATGAGCTCCCATTCGGAGGTAGTGTCTCGTCACCATGCGTCAGGAAACACAACGCGATGTATGCCTCTCAAGAGTGGACCTGTCTCCTTGCGATCATACCTTTTCCACCGTCATAAGCCACCTCCAGCTTTCACCACTCCTATCAAAGCTAAACAAGAAAAGGCACATCAAAGTCAAACCATTCATACAAATAACATTCCGTAACCTATGAGATTACTGTGGTTGCTCTCAGTATATCAAAATCTGTTGTACTCTGGTAACTGTCGTGCGGGTCGTTTTTCCGAGTCGGAAGTGCGACCCAAGTCGTTCGACCGGGATTACGCGCATCAGATACTTCCATCGGAGCCGTCCGTTTGAGACGGGACAGTCGGTGGTGATCCGCCCCTTGGGGTCCGTGGAGGCACGCCCTTCGGCAAGAAGAGCTCCGCGAGAGTGGGTCCCTCCACAGACGACCGTCAGAATGGGGTCGGACGGCAGAGATTCCCTGTGATGGGAACCAACGGACGAGCCGCGTCGGGTTCTGCACGGGGCCCGCGCCCTGCGGAATCTAGTCCGTACACGCGTCTCCACGAGGCGTGTACGGCCCGAGACCGAACGACCCCCGTATCGCCATCGAGGAAATGAAGTGGCGAAGACGAAGCCGGGGCGAACGCGGAACGGGTGCGCCGCTCCCATCCGCCAATTCCCCTCGCTCTCTTGTCACCGCTCGCTTCGTTCCGCTGTGGCGCCGCGAGGCCGTGTTGTCCGCTCCGTTTAAGCATCCCAGATCGTTCTTGATTCAAGACATACAGATTGATTCGTATCCTCGCTCGTTTGCTATTATTGTGTAAGCCTCTGTTTCAGGATGGATTAGTGTGCTTTTAATCTGAAATCAATCGCATCGTGGGTTTCCAATGGATGACGGCAAATCGATCTGCAGTTTACTCGTTTAAAAAGCTTGGGAATGATGGATATTGATTACGATTTTCTCGAGTCTATTTGTGTCTTCGCTATTATTGAGACGTAATATTTGTTATATTAACTGTATCTGGTGATGTTTTCTTTTGCTTTAGCTGCTCTCTCTCTCTCTCTCTCTCTGACTCTGCTACTTTTCAGATTTGAGTGGATTATATTAATATGTCGTTAGATGTTTCAGCTCGAATCATATCCGACTTAAAGAATCATGTCTAGCTTTGAGTCCATTTTTTGGATTTGAAGTGCTACAATTTGATGAATCCTATCTGCTACTGAATTATTCCTCAGGTTTCGGTTTCAGTTCCAGCCCTTATTCTTGGCATTTAGACCTATTTTACAACACGAAGAACGATCGCAGTATCCTATCAGATCACATTTCAGACTTTTTTATGAAGTTCTATTACTGGTCATCTCCTTGTTGACCTTGAATTGCTGGTGGCATCCTGCCCCTCTTGCTTTTTCCCCTTTTTATTTGTTCATGTCCTCTATTTTTCCCTCTTTCTTTCCTTTTTCTTAATATAAAGAAGATGAATGGGATGGGGACATTTCAACCATTTGTGCCTTTCAAGAACCAGCGATTTAATTTTCTAACAGCTTCTCTAAACTGCATCCAAAGAACATGGCACATGTGGTGGCATGTCAAGACTTATGTTAGATGCTTATCATCAAAGTAGTTGTTAATATAATAATCAGTAGCTAATGGAGCAACCTTAAGATGGGCTTATTATAATTAGCAACAGCCCAACTTAAACCATAGTTTAGGCACCTAAGCAGTAGCCAAGGTAACTAACTCAACAAAAGTTGCTCCTTCAATAATAATTTGATGTGGTAGTAGTATTTACTTGTGTTCATGGTCCATGAGGTGTTAAGCTGTTGCTCTTGCGCCGACACTGTTGTGTTTGAAATTAAAAAGTTCCTATAACATGATCATTTCTGAATAGCATACAGGAGCAAGTTCACATGTCTTTGTAATCCAACACAATTATCATTTTTTAGATTAAGTTTTGTGATTGTTTCTTGATTTTGTTAAATCTTCTGTTATTCCTAAAATCATTCTCCCATAAATAGGGTAATGAATAACTAAAACAATTAGACATATTTTGAAGTCCAGGTGTAAACTTTAAGGAAATTTTGCAAGAATCATGAAAATCTATGCCATGAATATCCACATATCTCAAAATAACAGTGGTTACCTGTTTCTGCTAACTCATTGCTTATTATATGTTGATTTCATATCAGTGGTGGAAAAGTTTGACAGAACCCTAGTAAGATGTATTTAATCTTACAATAATTCTCCTACTCATTCAACAAAAAAGCCGCTGAACTCAGATGGCATACTGGTCTTTCTAACTAGTGAGTTTTCCCCAAACTTTATTCATGCTGAGAAGGAACCAATTCATAATCACATTATCATTCGTTTAAAATTTCTAATTCAATGGTGAATCTAGTAAGCACATCATGTATGGGAGTGATCCAGATTCATGTCACTCGGTAATTAAGCTTATGTTTATTCTATTCAAATGGCCATATGTCTATACATGCCTTTCAACTCCTCAATGTATGATGCAGATTATCTTGATTCATCTTTTACTTTACATTCAATTTGGACTGATTTAATGTGCCTATCTACTTAGCATTAGTGCCTCTGATGCAGGGAATGAATTCTACTAATGATACTAGGAAATTTCCACGACAGCTGAAATATTTTTTGAGCTACAATAAATAATTCTAGGAAGGGTAATTTCAGATTACCTTTGCTGGCACACTATTGTGATTGTGTATCAGATGGCTACGTATGAGCAAGACTCTGAAGTTTATCGGTGGGGAATTGATCTTTTTCATGGTGAGTTTTTTCCAAACCCTTCATATTCAGGAAGCACCACTGAGCAGGATTCCGGCCTTAATGGAAATAGTTATATTAGACAAGGTTTGTTGATGCAGACCATGCTACTTTGGAGAATGAGATGATTGTATGCACTTGTAGTAAAACAAATTTCTTTGGTTGTTGATGCAGATGCTTCTGCAACTGCACATGAATATGAGGAGCATACACAAGCATCTTTTTTTACACATGATTTGTTTGACCCATACTGTAGTTCAGGTAGTAAGATAAATGAACTTACTCGAGTTAGTTGAAATTTTAATGGTATATTTTGATTTATTACGTCATGAAGTAATTAATGCTCGTTTATGTAGGGATTAAGGATGGCCAAGAGGAGATGGATGACACCAAACCTTCTAGTTCATGTTCCAGTCCTGCAAGAAACTCTTATGAGGAAGGGTATTCGTTGGACGTTACCGATGAATTTTCTTTTGTAGATGGTGAAGTTGGCAGAAGGTTAAATCAGATGGTCCCTGTCCCTGTAAGTTTATTTATTTTTTTTAAATTCCAATCTTCTTTAACATTCTAAAGAATGATTCTATTGTGTTATTTGTATTTCATGTTTTTCAACTGTTTCATCTGCTTCTTATGGGGCAAGATAACATTTTAAACTAATTTGTACGTGTCATTTAATATGAAAGTTCTGCATTGATTACTTTAGGTTGTCAATGGTTAAAATAAGCAGTGATATTTGCAAGAATATATATTGAGGCTCCCACTTAGTTTGTATGGCTAGTTATTTTTATCGCGAAACAAATGTGATCATTCAGCATGACATCAACAAGAATAATTAATGACAAGATTTAGTTAGGTTACCACTTCAACCAAAAGCTTAATTTAATGTGAAGGGACCCAACATATTTAAACAATATTCTCTCTCACATTCAAGCCAATTTAAGGATTAAGCGACTTGAAAGTGGATACAAGGACCCAAGTATAAGGTGGAAGCTTAAACCTCGTGTGAAGATCTGTATATGGGTAATGAAACACTAGGTGAAACATAAAGAGGAGCAAATCAAAGATTCATGTGCGAGACCCGCTGCAATAGCATGATCAAATTTTTGTTAGGAGAACCACTTTGACCAAAAGTTTGAGCTGATAGTAAAGATCTTAACTTATATTTTATCCCTGTTACTTGAAGATGACCTCCACTCTAATGCATCATCTGAAAACTCTGATGCACAACTTTTTCTCTATTAATCTAGCACAGATGACATGCTACACTACAAAATTAGCTGACTGCTGAGGTATGCTAGCCATGTATTATTTTCTTTTGGAACAAATCCAGGTTAACATGTCAGTGCCACATTTGTTTATCTGTTTATTTATTTACTTCTTGTTATTTATGATCCCATAAGATTATTGTCATCTGGTTTTGGCAGCATGTTCCTAAAATCAACGGAGAAATTCCTTCTGTTGATGAAGCCACTTCTGATCATCAAAGGCTACTAGAGAGGTATGGCCTGTTAACTTGGTATTATGTATACCACACAAATCGATCTAGTAAGTTTGATTTACATATGCATACCAAATGAACCAAATGATAGGGATAAAACAGCGCTAGTAATTAAATACATAATAACATATGTGATTACCTTGATATTTATTTAGATTGTTAATATTGTGAAGTTGTGAAACATTAAAAAAATAGCTGTTAACTAAGACATCCTTATTCATTAAGAAATAAGTGACCATCTAACAACATAATGCTCAAAATATGTAAAAAAATGTATCAAGAAATTGTGATAAATTAAACAGTTAATTTGTATTCTTCTGCGAAACATCATTAAATAATATGTTTGGAACTGCATTTTATCATATTTAAAATATACTATTAAAAGAAAAAGTCTTCCTAAAAAAATATCTACATATGGAAATTTGTTAACGATTTAGAGAATCATATACTTTGAGAAAGTATCTTCATGGATTCAAGAAATATTTTATAAATCGGGCTATTACCCATGTTCAATTAGTTTATGAGCATACAGAAGTATCAATTTTTCATTATTTTGCATGCTTAAAGTCATGCATCTCTAAGAAGTTAATTTCATGTTCTAATCTTTTTCTACGTGATCATTGGTTGTTTATATCGCAGGTTGCAATTATATGACTTGGTTGAGCGTAAGGTCCAAGGAGATGGTAACTGTCAGGTTAGTCATAACAATTTATTTGTTGAAGTAAATGACATGATTGTGCCTAGGGAAGCCTATTGCCAATATGCTTGCCAATTTAGCTTTTCTTCGAGGACAATGCTTCTCGACTGATTTGTGGAACCAGTATGTATTTGTTCCTTTCCCTTTTATTGTTCTACCAGTTACTTTAATGTTCTCATTTTCAGTGGACTAGTTCTAAATATTTGACGATTAGATTTTAAATCAAGATCAGGCTTGACCCAATTGATGTATCTTAAGTTCTGGAAGATAAATATTAAAAAACAGAAAATTTGCAAAGTAGTGGAAGAAAAAGAGAAAAATTAACAATATCATGAAATATAGACAAAAGGTCATTGTAGAGCCAGTAAACTGTACACTTGTGGATTATGGTTTGCCCAAAATATTTTGATAAAAAACAATATGGAATTTTCATCAATAAATAGCAATATGAGACCAGGATGTCTAAATGCAGGCATTAAAATTTGTGGGTTAGTTTCAATGAATATTTTATCTGAAGCAGCCAAATTGGAAGGATTGCTCTATATATAAAGAGCCTAAGGTGTAAAAAATGTATATTTAAGAAGAGTGGTTAATGTAAGTTGAGGTTTCTCATTGTTAGACATGTGTCCTACATATTTGCCTTCCTCTTCTGCTTAGGATTGATCAAGATTCCAACATAATGTAGACCTTTCATGTAGTGAATATTGAAGGAACTAGACAATTTCTATTTGTCAAATTCCAATCATATCAGCTGAACCTAATGATTGGTTAAATTTGCACAATTTATGATCCTTAGTTTTGACCCTCAAATGAAGTGGATGATGGATTGAATTCATCATAAGCTTGATAGCTTAATGCCAGTAACTTGGGCTTGGCAGATGGCTTGCACCCTGTTCTATTTGTTGGACCGATAGGTCCATTGGACTGGGCTGTAACACAATCTCCATTGACTTTGGCCAATTTCTGAGACAAGTCCATTTGATGAAAATGCTGGTGTTGAGAAACGGGCCATATGGACCTATAAGCTTACTGACATTCTATTTTGTTTCCTTTTAATAATCAATTAGTGACAATTTTGGAGTTGATATTGAGGATTATAACCTTGTACTTAGAGTACTGATAATTAATAAATTTCATTTTTTTTGGTTAATGATCCTTTAGGGCATATAAACAAATGCCTTATTTCTCTTCCTATGAACAAGGTCCTGCAGTTCCAATCGAAGTATCTGGGCTATTAGTATTTTATTAAAATTTTTTATGACAATTTGATCTTTTTCTGGAAATATTTATGGGGAATCAATGAAAAGATTTTCAAATATGCTGACGGCAAATATGTGGGACTAAAAGGTTGCTGTTATAGTTAAAAAAGAACAGGGATCAGATAACCAGAAAAAAATTATATAGTTGAATTCTATCGTCTCTTAGGCATACAACTTGGTAATGATAAAGACTTTTGCTGGCTACTCAGATATCCAACTTTTTGCTCTGTTGATGCAAATAGTTATTTGAAGAATACACTATGACCTGTCATTGACAGTATAGGTCCTGATAGGACAAGACTTGATTTAACTGGCGGTTCACTAAGAAACTGCTCCTAATAAAAATTGGCCCTTACCTGAAATGGACATTTTTGGTTCACAATCAAAATTTGAGATTATAATTTTTTTCCCGCAATACCTGACATTATTGAAGAACATGTTCCAGTTTCGAGCGCTATCTGACCAATTATATCGAACACCTGAGCACCATGAGTTTGTGAGGCAGCAAATCATTGCTCAGGTTAACTTTTCATTCTATTGATTTTCTTTCAATATTTTAGACCTATGATGTCTTTAAATTGACATGCCTTTTCTCATTGTTTTTAGCTTAAATCTCACCCTGAGATTTATGAGGGATATGTTCCAATGACATATGGTGAATACCTGAATAAGCTTTCAAAGTAAGTATTATTCTTTAAGGTTCTAGGACTTCATTCTAATATGCTGTTCTATAAAACATTACTTTTTTAATAATTTGCTTGATTTGCAATGTCATATGCAGGCTTGGTGAGTGGGGTGATCATGTAACGTTGCAGGCAGCTGCAGATTCGGTATCATATTCTTCTTTCTTTTATTCTGCTTTTATTTTCTGATTCCTTTCAATTCTGCTTTTAATCTAGTTATATTGGAAACCTTCATTAACTATTTCTTTTATGATAAATTTCATTATCTGCCAAAGGTTGACTGTGAAAAAAAGCTAAAATTTGTTTGTAGTTAAAAGTTAGTTTTTTTGGATGTGCTATTTGGAGATGATTTTGGAAACTTTTGCCTGACTCGTACCAATGCCACTATCTTTCGATTGATGCTTCCACCATATTGAGAAGCTCATCTTTTAGCTTAAACTTTCTATGCACTTGTGTGGATCTTGTGGAGGAGCATGATTTTGGCTGGTACTCAGTAAGACTGGTTTTTGGACAAGTGAGTTTGTGGAATTATTTTAGAGCTGAAATCTGGAGTTTTTAGGAAGATGCTTCCATCTGTTAAAAAAGCTCCATCTATTCAGCAGACGTGCAATGTGGATCTGTTGGCCGATTGTACTCTTCCGACAAATAGTTAAGAACTGCCATTTCCTTCCCCCTTTGAGGCTCCTCATTATTTGGTGTCAAATCATATTTTCACAAAATTGAATATAGAATGTAACTACTGAAAGGAATGAAACAAATGCTACTGAGCCTATTACTTGCTTGCAGGGATTATTAGCCATAGGTATCATAACTAGTGTTTATAAAAGGACAAGGGAGAGGAAGAGAGTAATGTACGAGATTTGCAATCCCTTTAGTTTGCCTATTTATTTATCTACTTGTGTACTCATGTAATGAATTCTTGTAATGAATGTTAGCCTTTCATTCAAATAGATAGGTACATAGTGCATGGTGTATATGAGATTTCCTTTCAGCACGTGTTTTCTCTCATCTTTAATTCTTAGCATCTTTCCAATATATCTCTTGTACAGTATATGTTCTCCATTTTTAATGATTATTGTCTTTGTTTGTTTGAGTGGAAAAGGTTAACCATGGACAAGCCTTGGGGTTATTCTATCAAAATGGTCACTCTCTCCTGTTTACAGTTTTCATCATGTCGGACCATGACTGTAATTTCACTGTTTCTATTTCTTATAAGGATTTAAATCTCTGTTCGATGCTGGTTTCGGTTATTTGTTGGGAAAGAAATACTTATCGATACGTATGCTTTAATACCGATCCTTGGTCGAACCGATAAGAACCAGTCAGTATACATCTGTCTGACTGGCATTTAAAACCTTGATTTCTTTGTTTCATGCATGTTAAGTGTTGAGGAGTAGCTAAGGGACAAACTTTATTGCATAATCCTGAGGTTGCATGTTTACATGTTGATATTTGCAGAGTTTGTTGACTGAGTTGTTATTTTCTCTTTAGCTTCTGTAGCTTAGAGTGGACAGGCACTCCATTTTGATTTCTTGATATCTTCCTTTCTGTGGGCTTTCTGTTCTGCAGTATGGAGTCAAAATTTTTGTCATAACATCATTCAAGTATACTTGCTATATTGAGATTTTGCCAAGTGTTCAGAAGTCGAATCGAGGTACACCTGAAATTAGTGCTTTCTGCTGTGTATTTTAGAATCTTTGTGGTGTTCAAATGTATTATACTAGCTTTTTTGCAACTCTGGAATACATCCTAATCATGTTGAGAATGGAGCTTATTAAGTGCGAAAACTAACATTTCGATTACGTTACATGTTTCCGAGGATGATCAAAGATATTTTCACTTGCCTATACCTACACAATCTCCAAATCTCTTGAACCCCACAAAAGCTTAAAGATTTTTTTTTTTGCATGCTTTTGTTTCTGGCCTGAGAGTAATAATGAAGTTTTTATGATTTGGTGCAGTCATTTTCTTGAGCTTTTGGGCTGAGGTGCACTACAACTCAATTTATCCTGAAGGAGGTGAGTGCATTATATTCTGTCTCAATGACCGTCCTATACTTTGCATCAGTTATAGAAGAAAAAAAAAAACAAACAGAGAAAATAACTAAGACCTATGTTATAAAGAAGAGTGAAAATATAAAGAAAACACCCTGTGTTCAGTTCAGGCCAGAAAAAGCTTTGTTTTGTGCTCTCGATGGAAATTTGATGCGTCATATGGAGCAATTGGTTACTTGTTCTCTAAAGCAATTGGTTATTGTTTAATGGATTTGTTTTGGTGGTTCAGATCTCCCTATGGCAGACACGAAGAAGAAGAAGAAGTGGTGGAAGTTCGGAAATAAGCATTAAGGATGAAGAATTTGAGATTTTGAAGGGGTCAATTTGCATCCTTCTGAAGACAAAATCTTTATGTGATCATTCCCGGCTTCCCGCATTAAGTTCCTACAAGTCATGTCCGCCCCAGCAACTCTATTCCGATCCCCAGAATGTCGTTGTATGCTATAATATCCATGTGATTCTTGGGAAATTGCAGTTTATTTGACTCCGTCTTTACTTCTCCTCCTTACCATGGAGTGCTTCATGGTCGTCATAACTCTAGTCCATGATGAGGCAAAATCCCGTGTCCACATCCCAATCTCGTTTTGGTTCTTGCATGCCCTAACTCTATTTCCATCTTACTTCCTAGAACATAGTGAAGATCTTGGACGCACTCTTCTTTGATCAGATGAAACTTTTTCTTGTTAATTCTCATCAATGGTCCAAGTTATTCTTTTCTGGTTGGTTTATGTTAAAATGCACCTGTCGATTTGAATCACCTGTCTGTCACGAATTAAACTGTCCTTTGTGTTTGCTCATCTACTTGTATTTTTCAGATTTGTGAATTCTTTTTCTTTTTCTTTTTTTTTTGGGTTGGCCTCCTTTGCTACTTACTTATGACACTCTTTTTATTTATTTTTAGATTAAAATAAAATAAATAATTTGGACTTAGGTACTTTAATTAGATGTATTTATAATTTTATTTTAAAAAGAATAAACCAACTCACTAGATTTAAAATACTAAACCTATCCAATAACTACTTTTGACTTCATTACAAGAAAACAAGATAAAGTGCATTATAATGTTCAAAAGTGGGCCCATTCAAAACGTAAGACAGCACATAATTTCCTCGAGGATATCTCTCTATTCTGTTGAGAGAAATCCTCTGTTGACTATTCATAATTGTTCTTATCTTCTTCTCTATTTTCATCATGCTGCTCTTGAGGAAAATCCTCTCTCCTAATTTGTATAAATAGGAGAGGGACATGTTAATATATTCAAACTAAAGTACTTCAATAAAGTTTTTTCAATAATTATTCTTATCTTCTATTATTTTTATCAATGATTAGCCTCTGAATTGGACCGGGAAGTTGGTCCTTTGGGCGTTTTCTTCGAGATTGGGATTGTTGGTGAACCTTTACACCGTTCGGTCCTGCCCGCAAGATCGTCCGAGTGGGCGCTTGGGCAGTGGAAGTCGTCCTCCCACTTGGTCGATTTCGAACCTTACTTCCGGAATACGGTGGGGTTCCCCTTTGATCGATCGCCTCCTTGTCGCTTGTTCCTGCACACAGGTCGGGGTCGGGAGGGGGATATCCTGATTCGACCGCTCCAAAGATTTAGTTAGAGCTGAGTGAAAAACTAGAAAAATCCTCTCTCGGTGCTAGCGGCGAACTCTTTATGGCCGCCGACCTTTAAGATTAAGTTAGATTTAGTTATACCCTACACATGGGGGGACCAACGGTACCTACCACATTTATGGTCGTCGACCCTTTAAGCGACAAACTCACTTCTCATGTGGACATCGGTCAACCTCTGTGCCTCGACGCCGAACAGTAGTGTCGCACTCAATCGGCACCGTTCTGGTCCGGTGGGGTGGCGTTGTGTACTCGGTCGGGGTCGTCCCGATTCTTACGAGGTGGCGTTGTACTCGGTCGACACCGTCCCAATTCTTATGGGGTGGCATTGTACTCGGTCGGCGTCGTCCCGGTTCTTGCGGGTTGACGTTGTACTCGGTTGACGCTGTCCCGGATTTTGTGGGGTGGCGTTGTCCTCGGTCGGTGCCGTCCTGGTTTTTGTGGGGTAGCGTTGTACTCTATCGACGCCGTCGTACCCAAGGGGTATGGTGTCGATGTGATCCGTCGTGCTGACTTTGATGCTCCTGGTTGGCACTAATATGGTTGTGAGCGATTGGTTAGAGGGCATGTTACCAGATTATGCTCTATCATTCTTGTTGGGAAATCATTGGGGGCGACATCACATGCGCAGCGGAAAAACAAGAAAACAAAATCTCCGATTCCCAAAAAGATGTTCGTTGTCGTGCGAAGATTGGTGCGCAAAATCCACGAAACTCAAAACTGTGTATAGAGTAGATTGTGTTACCTAGGGAGATCGTATATCCCTGTTTCCTTGCAGATCCTTAGGAGAGGGTGAAGGAGGTCAAGCGTCCTCCTCTCTAGCGGTGATCCACACAACAGGGTTACGACGATGCTCCTCAAAACTCCAGGCCTACTCTGAGATGGAGAGGGAGAGGAGAATAGGAAAGGCAAGCAAGAGCTCTCTAGCCTATGGGGCTCTGAATCCCTCCTATTTATAGAGGTCCCCTGTCAAACCCTAATGGGTCCTCCCTTAGTGGGTATTGGATCTGCATCCAATAAGACAAGGGCTCCGTCGGATATCTCATATCCGAACCTCTACTCATCGCAATGCCTACCATATGTGTGTGACCCTCTAGGCCCAATATCGAGCTGGCTGTGAGTCATACCTGTCAGAACTCCTTCTAACTCA